ATATATGTGTGTGTATGTGTATTGTGACATGAGGCGTATCAGCATAATACTGCCCTTTTGCAGGCGGGAGAATCGCATCATTGTTGGTGCATATTCACACACTTGCACATTCAAACGTATACCTTTATCACGAGTAACGAACGACCACGCCACGCACCAACATCTCCTTACTACTGACTCATAGCTGCATACTTTCCGGACACATACAAGCATGTACGGGGCATACACGTATTTTAATACATATCTGCGTACTCCCTGCACACACCACAGATCCACTTTCAATCCCGACACCGCCACTACCTTCCAACCTCCCGCAACTCTGGTCACATCCGACGCCCGCCGCGCTTGGCGAGAGCGTACACCCTATGGTTGCCATGGTTACGGCCTGGGCCGGGTTGTGGTGCATCACACCATCAGGCTCACCTGCACCATGCTGCTGTTTCACAAGTTCGGGCTCGATTTTGTATCGTCGCGTGGGTTGGTAGCGCTGCTGGGTGTACGAGACGGGTACAATGGCAATGATATAGCCATGTGTCTGTGGCATTTATCGGCGGTGGGGTCGGTGATGGAGAAGCTGTGCCTGCTGCCGTCCGGTGTGGTGAGGACAGTGATGCTAACGGCGTATGATATCTTGGCAGCACCCTCCCATCTGGCGCAAAGGTATGTGGGGCGGAGCGTGTCTTGCAACGGTGTGGCGTATTAAACAGTTTAGTTGTTGGCAGCGATATAGAGGTGTGGTGGGTGAGAATATACTCTGAGGCGTATTGCGATGTGATGTAGATATGGCAGAGTTCTCTAATCGATCAGCACGTACACACAATTATCTTGGGGATGTGTGGTGTATCTCGCTTACATCGATACTTGATATGATTTCAACTAAAAATTAGTATTCATATCTGTGCATAGCCTTGTATCACCGGCGGTGTTTGCTGTATTGCAGCGAACGTCCGCATCACATACAGCCATCACTTCCATCGTACCGCATCCAGCTTTCACAACCACACAACCTCGACCAAGCATCCGACACACCCCACATGGACACTGCCTAGACACAATTAAAGACCATCGTACATGACTGTATACCACACAAACCCTGTATCGGTGGTTTCATCGCTATCAGCTTTTAACGGACAACACCTAGGTTATGTACGACCTTGTTGCATGCGCATCCCATCCTCACCGACACGCTCAATACTCCCTTTCACACGTAGTCACCATTGACAAGCACCTATCACCACGTAGACTGGCACACTCTCACATACAGTCGTATAACTTACAATCATCCACTTATCACCACCTATATACACACACTCACACTCACTCAGTCATATAACGTACAATCACCCACTTATCACCACCTATATACACACACACTCGCACTCACACAGTCATATAACTTACAATCACCCACTTATCACCACCTATATATACACACACTCACACTCACACAGTCATATAACTTACACTCATCCACCTTCACCTCCTACATCCTCACACACCGTCACATTGGATACTGCTCAAAGGCATTCGGCACTGTTTCTGGCCATGGCCTTCACCTACCCTGCGCTTGTGGATGCGGCCGACTCGATGAATGGGCTGGAGAGGCTCATGCAGGCTGTAGACCGTCTCATGCCAGATGTAAGTCGTGTCAGAGTTGGATCTTGGTTCGTGGAGAGAGCTTCCGTTCGTTGAAGTCATGGCTGTAGCATGTGTGTGTACTCGGCTTGGTGTGTCTATGAAGGCGTGTGCTTTGCGGAGGATGTACGCAAGAAGCGGTGCCTATTTCTTGCAAAAAGTTAACTGGCTACGCATGTACCTGTGCTGTTGACTTGCTTGTAGTGTCGTGGGTACGCAACGTGTGAATCCATCCATAGGGTGGTGTGTGTTAGCATCTAAGGGGTAGATATATATAGGCAGTAACTTCACATGGCGGGTCTGTCTTACCAACCCGACTTCTTTGATTCCGGGGACCTCTGCATAAAAAATTAGGTCACCTATTTACTGTGTGGTGATATTCGGGTTGTCAATTCTCAAGTGATGAGGAACATGCAAGTAGTGTTCACGCACGTGTCCTATATCACATATGTAGAATGTCGAAGGCTTTGCTCTTCTCAGTAGTGTCGTATCCAGAGTCTATCCCAGTCTCCGTGGACCACTAGCGTGGCACAGTGTACAATTGCCAGGGTTTCGAGGTTGCACACTTCCCAGTATACCATTGGATTGGGGTTGTACGCTTGCGCAGCATTCAGTCCTTTTCTGATCCATCGGCGTACCTACAGACCATCGCACCGCCCGTATTCACACATGCCTTTATACTACCTGCCAACTGACAAACCCCTACACCTCATCCCCACAGATGTTTTTCTTCTCTGGAGGTGACCGGCAACTCACCATGAACATGCTACTAGCCCTGCGTCAGTACTTCCGACTGCACCTGCACAAATTGGGATCAAACATCCTTCGCATCAGATCACGAGTGGATTCCACTCTGACACCGCCCCCGCCAATGCCGGCCTATGCACCGGCTGTAATGGACTCCGCAGGGTTCACGCGGGATCTGAACATGATACGCGCGTATCCTAATCTGGCCACGAGTTTTAAACCAATCACGAATACATCCCGCACTGGGGGGGGGGGGGGTGCAAATGGGTCCAGTCTTAATGCTGTCTTGAATTCCGAGACAGGGCCGAGTGTTCCGGCTAATACAAATACGAACACAAATACGAACACGGAGACCAATACGACCACACACCCGCCTGGTGAGCTTGGTCCCGATGCAGAGTCCGTTTCTCAATCGCAAACGAATATGGAAGCAACTTTGAGTGTGCAACGAGAAGGAGATACTGCCGGAAATACAAACACAGAAACCGCTGCCGCACAGAGAGATGGCTTAGAGGGCGGGGTGGCAGACAGTGTGCGCACGAGTGGGAATGCACAGGCGGATGTAGTGATAGACACATCCAATGTTAGCACACACACCGACGCACTAGAAAACGCTACCACCGCGCACACACACACAAACACAAACGCAAACACAAACACAAGCACAAGCTCAAGCATCCCATCGAATTCGCACACAAACCCATCCACAGACATACACTCTGGCGCTTACACCTATACCAACACGAGTGCTTTAGCACCACCCCCCACCGTCACCCCCCCCATAGCGCCTACGGGACTAGAGCCCCTGGACGTAGCACTGAGGTTAGGGCTGTGGAAGCGTCTGTTAGCTATCACCAAGCAGACACGGTTCTGGCGAGGCGTGGACTGTGCTGGGGTTGCTCTGCACACACTGCGCATACTGTCGGTGTTCGCTCAGACACACAGTACTATGGCCACGTGGGTGATACATCTCAACCCAGCCGTGGCCAGGGTGGTGCCCGAGCCGGTCACCATGGCAACGCCGATCGCGGACAACACCGATACGAACGGCAGAACTACTGCAGGAAACGCGGTAGTCGGCACTTCGCACGCAAATACAGTTGCGGCAAATAGAAACGCAGGCTTTGTCAACGAGAGCATCACAGACGTGCCTGCCCGCGGAACTGCGAGCGAACTTAGTAATGACATGGATGTCGACTCTACGGCTACCCACACAACCCCCTCCTCCACCGATGGCGACGAAGGTGAGTGTGCGTGCTGTTCGGGGTTTGTTACATATGGGGGATTTGTATTTCTGAACTTGGTTATGTATTTTAAGGATGTGTTCATTTGTAGGCCATATGCATAAACATACCGTGTCGACGTGTGCTTGTCGTATAGGTGGAGCTGATCATAGTATTTGTACGAGTTTTATGTGCAGACGTTTACGGTACGGTCACAGTGCAACAGGACTGCAGTAGTAGTCATGCCTGCCGTAGATAGGAACGAGTTGTATGGTGATTTGGCAAAGCCAACAACTGTTCATTTCACCAATGGGAGTGAAGAGGATAATTGATTAGTCAGATATACAGTGCAGAGGTTTTGACTCAGGTGGTACGTGTGCGCCGTATTTACATACACATGTGGATCTCTAAGATTTGCCCTGCGAAGCACCGAACACGCTTTTGAATGGACACTTGTCAGCTCCGGTATCATATCGCAATTTCGGAAAGCACTAATTTCCACAACACTTAAGTAATAGCCGTGTATTGCTCTGGGTACAAATACCTACACATACCTACACCTATCCCACGTACACATATTCAACGCCCGTTAAATCTTCCACCCAACCAATCAGATTCGCTGAATTCCGATGACAGCTCTTCTGTATCGGCCATGCTGGCAGCGGGTGCGGGGGCTGGCGATGCTGAGCAAACTGGACTGGGCTTGCTATTCGCATGCGCTGAGGGCAAGTACAACTACTCCCCGGTGGCGCGCAAGGCCGCCTTGGCTATCATATGCAATATGGTATGTGAGTGCGTACATGTGTGTGTTGTTGTTGTTGTGTGTGTGTTGTTGCTGTATATATGTATATATATATATATATATATAAATATATATAGTGTGTGTGTCTGGTATTTGTGTGATCAATAGAGGAATCTATCCATATGAGAGAGTGTGCGCGCGGAAGGCTCGTTAGTTTTCAATACCGCCCCGACTTTAGCAATTGTTGAAGTGTGCTGCGTACGCTTGCAAACATACACTCAGATACACAGTATATCAATACATTCGCACATGCGCACGCAGCGTTATATCATGATTTTATACAAACCCAGACGCACCATTAATATATACAACTATATACCAACGAGAGACAGGCTATTCAGTTCAATTTACGCACAATTCAACTAATTGAAACGCATTTCTTTTTGTACTATAAGATTTAACCACGCCGGCGTGATACTCGACACCCATGCAATCCGCACGTTCACGTACTTTCCACATAGCCTTGCCTGGATATCATCAAACACACTTCCTAACACACGTACGTTCATGTATTTTCCTCAGGTGTCGCGTGGGCCCAATGGCCTTGATCATGGGCTGGACCATTCTGTGCGTAAGGTGCGGCACAACAACTTCTCAACGTTCCCCTACACACAGGGACGCGACGATCCCATTCTACGCGACATGCAGACACTTGTGCGCGAGAAGAACGGTATCAAGGTATGTCGGCAGTGTAGCAGGAGGGTGTTTATAAGGGGGGTATATGGGAGTTGGTGCGGATGATTGTTTTTGCAGTGTGTAGGTACTTCTGATTCTGACCTTAGAAGCAAGCACTCGTACAATATTTATACAGATAAATTCGCATGTATGTATATTATATGTAGATACTTCTACTTCTATGTATATGTAGACACTTTTACTCAGGATTTGTGCAACGATTTGTTATGAGGTGCCCCGATCGATCAAAATACGCACATGAAACTATACCACAAAGGATCTCATACTTAGGTTGATGACTTTGCAATTCTCCAATCATCTTCTTGTCTTTCTACGTTCTGGAAGGCTTCGTACGCACCTATGTTTGGTACAGATCTGCAGCATTTTCTCTCAGGCTTGTCCTATTTGCATTTGCGCACGTACTCATGACCCTCTTCACTTCCTATCCTTGTCCTATTTGCATTTGCGCACGTACTCATGACCCTCTTCACTTCCTATCCTGGAGTCAACACTTGCCCCACTTGCACTTGTGCATATACTCACCAGCCTTTCCACTTCCTATCCCGAGCTCAGTCGTTAAGAGCATTGCTTCATTGTCGGGCACCCCTCGTACATGCTGACGAAATCAGAACGCTGGCATGTGCTGCGTTACTCGGGTTATCGGAAAACCAGGAGGTTAAGCAGATCCTCGGCAAGCTGCAGGTGCGTCTGTGCATGCGTGCGTGTATTCGTGGTCACTGGCGTGTGAGCTTTATGCGCATGTCTTGTATGTGGGCGTATATACATGTGTGTTACATGTGAATGTATGCACGCGGGAGTGAAGGAAGTATAATGTAGGTATATAGGGTGGGATGTAGCGCGATTAAAACTCCTACGTGTTTACGAAGGAGGAATGTCATGCTACAGTGTTTCAAAAATTGAATCCCGATTTACCTCGACAGCCCGGCTGAACTGTACAAGTGCATATTATCTCACATACTACTCAATTTAGTACACAATACGTGGGTTCACGTCCATGGCATACGAAATATTCAGAATCGGGAATGGTTTACACTTCTTGGTAACGCCAAAGTAGCCGAATATTCCGAATACTCACTAGCAACCCATCTAAATTGGCGAATTGACAACAGGTGAGCAACGAGCTCTCGGAGCTGATGTACGAACCGGTGGTACAAGACAACAGTGCAGTACATGCCGAGTTCACACATCTGGCGACCGAGATCATCGCACGTGTCACGGGCAAGCAAGCACGGGCCATACAGACGGAGGCCACAGGGCATTCGCTCAGCAAGTATGAGAAGACGGCTATTGTGGAGAATACAGAGGTATGGTTGTGTTGGTTTGTAGATAGTATTCGAGTATTTGGTTTATTTGTAGATAGTATAGTGGTATGGTTGAGTTAATTCGTATATAGTATAGTGGTATATTTGTGTTGATTTGTAGATAGTATAGAGTATTTGGTTTATTTGTAGATAGTATAGAGGTTTGGTTTGCATGCTTTTCCTGAATGTTTTGGTGCGTCTATGTGTGAGATGCTCTGTGAGTGCGTATTCGGGGCATGCCATGTTGGAGCGGCGCGTACACCGGGTGCAAACCATGAACCGGTACTTAACATGTGTGACTAAATGACATATTCCCCCCACATCCTTAGGTCTCCTTCTCGAACAATGAGCTCATCTACCTGATCTACGACCATCTGATGTCATGTGGGTTCAAAGACACAGCCGCACAACTGACCCGGGAAGCGAGTCTACCTAACTTGCCCAAGATACAGATGCTACTCAAGGGTATAGCGTCCCCCGGCGATAGAGCAGGCGGCGACACTCTGGCCCACACCACCAGCCACGTACAGGCACACACACGCACACACGCACACGAACACGAGCACAACCACAACCACAACCACAACCACAACCACAACCACAACCACAACCACAACCACAACCACAACCACAACCACAACCACAACCACAACCACAACCTCGGACAGGCGCATGCATACCCAAACGCACCGACACGGCGTGTCTCAGATACACGTGGGAGTGTGGATACGGGCAAGTATGAGGCGTCCAGACGTGTGGCCGCAGCGGTGGCTCTACTACAGGAAGGGGGCGGGGCCAGTAGTGGTAGCAGTAGTAGTAATAGTAGTAGCAGTGCGTCTATTACTGGTGGGAATGACAACGGGCGTGTTATGCTGCACGACACGGGCTTGTGCGAGAGCACGGTGAGCGCAGAGAGCCACGCCGGTCATGCAGCGTCGCATGGTAAGCGGAATGATCGAGTGACGGACATGAGTATGGACACGCACTTGGACAGACACTACGGGTTGGTGAGTGTGGCAAACGGTAAGGGGGTCTTTTCCGATGCAGAGGATAGGGGGGATGTGGGTGTGGGGCTTATGGACGATGCCGAAGTGACCACACTCGAGAAAGGCGAGAACGGACTCACTCTGAGCGCATACGAGCCACCAATGAGTGGGAGCGTAAACACTCAAAGACTGAACAGGCCAGAGTGCACAAGGACGCACACGCACACGAACACGGCAGCACATGCAGGAGGCAACGAGAGAGGCGCAGATACATACGCACACGCACACGCACATGCAGCGAGTACGGTGGAGCAGCAGACTGCGATGCATAGTAGGTGTAACCAGGGCTCACCAATGGAGAGTGCAGTGCGAACGGCTGCAGGGGATAGCCAAGTGGGTACGGCAAAGGGTGTGGTGCAGGATACATCACGACCAATGGAATATAGTAATAGCGGTATGAATACCGGTACAGAGGAGAAAGAACTTCGTAATAAGCGCGTGTCTACTCGAAGCGTAATCCGACAGCAGCTCGCCAACAGTGTGGGCACAGGTATCGACATACAAGCAAACACCAACGCACAAGCACATGTGCACAACAAGCCTCTGATCACTACGACCTCGGTCAACAGCGGCCAGAAGCAGAACAAACTGAAGCAGCGACAACCGGTACCCATCCCTCCTTTCTCTGGGGTGAGTATGGGCATGGGGACGGGCAATGCAAGCAACCGCAAACGGTCCAGAAAGCAGGACAAGGTCGCTCAGATTCACCAGCACCAACAGCAGCAGAAGAACCAGTCACAGAAACAAGGGCCGCAGCCACCGCCACACCAGGCACTCAAGGCAAGGCACACCCAGCACGCGGCAACCAGTAGGCGACCAGGCGATTCACACACAGCCGACGCAGAGACAGCGGGACAAGCAGGTGCTTCACACGACCTCGGGCGTACGAGCCGTGGCAGTGATGGGAAGCACTCGCTCTCTCCCAGGTGGAAGAAAGGTACGAGTGGGCGGAAGTCCGGGCGCATGTCTGCTGATGCACATGCGCCGGTACAGACCCAGGGACAGGCACAGGCACAGGCACGGGCTCAGGTACAGGAGCATGCACACACACACACGCACACACACACGCGCGCACACGCGTCTCCGGCAAAGGAGGCGGAGGCCTTGGCGCGTAGATCCAGCCTGCGATCCATGGGGAGTGTAGGGATGGAGAAGAAGTGCGAAGGATCTACGGCGGCAGGCGTAGAGACCCATGCCCCTGTGCCTGCTGCACCCCCCGCACGTTCACCTAGCCCCTCACTCACCTCCACATCCGTGCACCCGTCACCAAACACACATGTATACGCACACGCACACGCACACACACACACACACACACGCACACAGCAGTACACCAGCGCCTCTGGATCGCCTCAGCTGCACCACTCCGCATCTCGGCCCTTATCGCCGAGGTCAGCACGCAACTCGCTGGACGCTACGGGTAGCAGCCTGAGTGCGCCTGAGAAGCATTTGCCAGGGGGACAGAGTGCCATATCCCCGCCACCGGCACCAGGATCAAAGCTCCCTCTGACATCGCCGAAGCGCAGTGTCCTGAACACCTATGGTCGCCATGGCAACTCGTATCCACGAGGTACGCCGACGAGTCCCAGTCGCGGGGCGAAGGGATTGCACGCGTACCAGGCACAAGCACAGCCTTGCACGAACGCACCTTCGTCTCCACAGATGGCGTGCACTCGGCAGAAGGACGCTCCGTGTAGTCACGTGGAGATGGTGTCTAGCAGAAGCGCGAAGGTGCGGTTCCAGGAGGAGGATGTACCGAACCGGAAGTACAAGCCGAAAATGGTGCATGTGAAACCATTCGCAAATGCACACACGTACACGACGCGGACGTTTGCGCATCCACCCGCGCGGATGAAATCACAAACGCAGACTACCACACAAATGCATGCACGTACGCAACCACAGCCGAGCACAGGCACAGCAGATAGACCGGGCGGTGGTACGCAGGCGAATAGTTGGGCCATGTCTGGGAACGATGAAACAGTTCAAGCAAGTGCACACACAGCAACCGCATCCGCTGTATCCCATACAAACCCACACCACAACTCACAAGCATCGTCGCAATCACACGCTTCTTCAAGCACCGGTACAAACAGCAACGCCGACGCCGGCGCAGCCACATCTCTTAGTAAGAATACAACTCCGCCCCAGGTCACGCACGCCTACGATCACTACACCAACCCACGCGATGGCTCTGTAGTAACGGCCCCAGTGCCAGTCGTTTCGCTGCAGGACATCGTGGGAGACTATCTCAAGGCGCAGCACAAGACATGCCCCAATCCGGTGAGCGTACTGCCACCGTTTCCGTTGCTGAGTCAGCACCTGTGTCCCGAGCCGAAGATCAACGCGAACGCGCACCCCAGTTTGTTTAAACGGTATGGGTTGCGTAGAGCCGTATGGAGGTGGTGTGTGTCTGTGTGTATTAGTTTGGTCGTGCACTTCTACGTATGATGTTGTGATTGAGTAGGCGTGGTAGGCCTGTGGACACCGTGGGGTTTGTGATTTAGAAATGACTGCATAGGCGGACCTTTATCGTTAGCAGGTACCAATTGGCCTGCTTCGTTTTGTACTTTATCCTCACCTGTATGATATGCGAACCCAGGATTGCTCTGTTTTTTAAAGTGGCATTGATTATGTGGTGTGTCTGGCTCAACAAATATTTCTTCTCTGCCCATTTTGACCTTCAGCCTGCGTGTTGTTGCGAGTATCTGTCTAGCTAGCCATGTTTTTATCTTCGCATGTTGATCGTTTCTATGAGAATCGTTTCCTGTGTATTGGGCACCTTCAGTCTATTCTGGCCAATCCAATCGAAAACGCTCTACTTTTCTTATCTGATCCTTTATTGCATCAATTTCTAGAATAGTTTCTCATCCAGTACTTCTCCGGTCTAGTCTGTTCATGTACGTTCCCGAAATCTGCCCTAATGCACTGTTCTTGGACTCACTTTGTCCTGAATTCTACGTTCAGACTGGCGGCCAGAGAGGCGGGTGTGGTTGACGGGGGACGTCATGGAGCCCGTATGACGCGCAAGCTAATGTACAGTCGGTTTAAGCCCATCCACTCGTTCAAAGTGGAGAGCCAGGCCATGACCAGCGTTAGCTACCTGGGCGAAACGTATGTGTGAGTGCGAACACGTGACTTTATCGGTGTCGTGTAATTGTACTCGTGTGCGTGTTGTGTGTAAAACCCTGCTGTGGCGACCACACATATAAGAGGGAGTAGTGTGTGCGAGGAAGTAGTGCGTGCGTGTAAGCTATATAGAGTACGGATATTAAAACTCTTCCACCACACCCACGCAATCGAAGTGATAATTCTTGCAATGACCATTTTAGCTGCACGGATAGACTCACACCCGTGTGCTTAAAGCGGTGGCCATGTATATGTACATGTACGGTGCAACGCGCACGTACAGGGGGTGAGTGTGTTGTGTTGTCGAAAACAGTGTGTTCCAAGGCTGTGGCCTATGGGGGCGGGTCTGGGTATAACAACGCATTATCTATGGTGTAACTACGAGAGTCCTCGTGTATGTGAGCAGGTGGTTGCTCTTGATCGCACCCTGGTACAGTGGTTGTTTCTGCGGTGCCTCTGTATGCATGTGTCGGAAATGGCGATGTGTCGCAGTACGCATTCATCGCGAGAGTTGTTGTTTGTGTACACCACAGCCTAGTTATGTATGCCAAGAAAGCTCATGTGCTGCAATGGTAGCAAGTCAGGCTGTAGTAAACGGTCCTATCGATTGCTGTTATGCGAGGCGTTGCTTGCATAGCTACACGTTGGGTTCATGCATGTTCCACCCCTCGGATAGCTTAGCTAGCCCATCTTCGGCTCCTCCGGGGTCTCAGGTATGATACCACTGACACGTGTTTGATTACTCATATACCCACACACAACAACACAGGAACAAGCTGTTAGTGGGTACACACCGCGGTGACATGCTGGTATTCAACCTCGATTCAGGGGATCTACTGGACACGTACGAGTGTCACGAAAACGTGCTGTATTCCATTAAACCGTCACACGACACATTGCGCGTGCTGACATCGTCTCCGTCGACGTCTTCGGCGCGCACTTCGGCGATGTGGAAGTTTGCATCTATGGCATATCCCGCGTTCGAGTTCTCCGATGATCGGTAAGATAAGGGTGTCTATCTCCGTTGGTGGTTGTCCATGGTCGTGCACGGGGGTGACTAAATATAAGAGCGTGCTGTACGTATATGTGGTTGTATCTGGCAGATTTCGTCGAGTGATGCTGTATGGACGACAGGTCGGAATGGTTTTTATATATTTATACATGTGAGCGCTATGAAGTATAAGTGCGTAAGTATTGGTGTCTATACTTCTTGCCGCAGTGGTTTAGTTGTATGTCGTCGCCCGCATTGATCGTTAGCTGTGCGTGTATACACATGCGTGCGTTCAAGTGGTAAGCGTAGTCGATATATATGTTGTTGCACAATAGTGTTCTGCATTGTATTCACCTGCATGATATATATCTCCATTGTATCTATCGATATTATGTATACCTGCAATTCTGCTTGACATGCATATACGCCCTGATCGCCCTTACAGTCACGCTCAAGCGTCGTGCGCGTGCAACGGTTCAGGCTGTTCTTAGGGTCGTCAAGCAAGATTGTTTGGCCCCATGTTTGCCGTAAGGCTCCATTGACTTGGAATTAGTGCGAGAACTATCTATATGCTATACACGCAGCTCGGAAACCGAGCTACTTATCTTCCAGTCACAGCCGTGTTAGTATGCTCCTAAAGGGGGAATATCTTTAAGTAGTAGCGTTTATATCCCTTTTCACCCCGCTTTACTCCTGATGATGATATTGACTACCTACATCCCTCTCCAGATTTGTAAATTGGAGCAATCTGACCGATGACTACATCGTTGGAACCATGGGTAACGAGGCACACATATACGACGGTCAGGTGAGTATATAAATTATAGATTCACACACACACACACACACACACACACACACACACACACACACACACACACACACACACACACACACACACACACATATATATATATATATATATATTTATATCTGTCGATTGATTACATTGGATGTATTCTAACCTATTTTTGGAGTGTGATGTGGAGATATGTATGTATGTGTATATATACATACATATATGTGTATCGTCTTTTTAGGATATGTTTAATGCACATATATTCATATTAAGCACCAAGTACCAGAGCATGTAAAGTATGAGCAATTTTTACGCTCTAAGTTCCTCACCTCTCCATGTTTCTCTCTCCAACAGACTGGTCAACTAGTGAGCACTTTAGTCGATCGTCGTGGTCCGAATGACTATGAGCGAAACTGCGCGTGTTTCAATCCTACAGACGATCTTGTGCTAAGTGATGGTGTGTGTCTAATACAGTGCAAATAATATGCGATATGAGTTTGTGGTATGCTGGTAGTTGTGCAGAGATTCAAGCGTGTGCTCATGCAAGTGTGTATGTCATCGCGTGTGATTTTTTCCCATATACACACACACACAAACAT